GTAGGGGACTCTGGTAAGGAAATTCCTTTTGTCAATGTAGATGGGAGCCTACTCTACAACTTATAGTCTTAGAAAGTTGCCTAGAACACTGAGGGATTAAATATGCCCAACATCATACAACCAGTACGTATTAGAGATAGAACTCAAACCCAGGTCTTTCCTGACTCTGAGGTCAGCTCTCTATCCACTGTGTCAGGCTACATATACACCACATAAATATCTTAATGGCATTTATCCTCTTCAAAAATAAAGGACAAACAACAATCTTAATGGAAATGTAAAAGGCATCAATGAAACTTTAAGAAAAGTTATACCTGCCTTAAGCAGAGGGTCTATATTTCCCTTGTTCTTCCTGCTCCTATCTATCTAAATAAGGTCCCTTTCATTGTCCTTGGCCCTTTTTCATATAAGCCTCAGTTTATTCTGGGCTTTATTTGGCCTCCCCAAGACTATCTCCACAACACAGTTCATTATTTTGTATCCATCTTTGTTGCATGTCTCTCCTTCCATCTTTTATACAAGTACTTTTAAAATTTGAGTTTATTGGAAAATGCACTGTGTCTTCATGTTGGTTTTCTTTGGAGATGGTTTTTTTTCTTCCTTATTGGAATCTGTCATAAATATTGATTAAATGAATTCTATCACCAAAATTTTGTTACTGAGTTTGTCTCATAGGAGAGCTGGAAGGGACTTAAAAGGTTAAGGTTATCTAGTCCAACCTCCATGGGCAGCTAGGTGGCACAGTGGCAAAGATACTGGAATGGTTTGCCCTTTCCTACTCCAGCTCACTTTATAGATGAGGAAACTGAGGCAAACAGGGCTCAGTGACTTGCCCAGGGTCACACAGCTAATAAATGTCTGAGATGGGATTTGAGCTTGGGTCTTCCTGACACCAGGCCAGGTACTCTAATGACTGTACCCCTAGCTGCCCCATGAAGGTTGGAATAGATAACCTCTAAAGTCCCTTCCAACTCTCCCTCTATGAGACAAACTGTTATCTATTGATGAAGAACATCTATTGATGTTTTTCATAGTGTGTTATCCCTGACCCATTCATTCTATGCTGCTTTCCTCCTACTTTGGACTGTTGTTATAAACTTTTTTCCCTGCTTGGATTTGGTTACCCCATGAACTCTGGCTCAATCCAATATCCTGTTTACTCTCTCAGATAATAATAGCTGACATGTATATAGCACTTTAAAGTTTACAAAACACTTAATGGAAGTTTCATTGGATCCCCACAACAGCTCCATGAGACTGGGACTAAAGGCATTATCCTTTTTACAGATGAGGAAAAGGAAACAGACTGATTAAGCTACTTGCTTTAGTGAGGTCACATAGGTACTAACAAGCATCTATTAAGCACCTACTGTGTGCCAGGTACATTACAAATATTATCTCTTTTGATATTCATAACATGCCTAGGAGGTAGGTGCTATTATTAATCTCCATCTTATAGCTGAGGAAAGTAAGGCAGGTAGAGGTTAAGTGACTTGCCCAGGGTTACATTGTTATTAAGTGTCTGAGGTCAGATTTGAACTTGAGTTTTACTGACTTCCTGGCCTGGTACTCTATCTATTTTACCACCTTGCTGCCTCCTGAATCCCCATCTTTGCTGATTTCACTTCTAATAGTCTTTCCACCAGATAATGTTGTCTCTGAAGTCACACCCTCTTTCCCTTAAACTCTCCTAATCACCCCTAAGCAAATCACTGATAGGATTGGGCCTTCATTCCATGGAGAATGTGGATCTAGCAGAAGGTTCATGGATGACCATTTCCAGTCTGTGTCTTCTTTGGCAATTGCAAGGTCAATTTCTTTCAAGGTTCCTGTCGCTCTCACGTCATCCATCAGTTTTTTCCTGATAGTCAAAATTAAGTTAAAAGTAATTATTTCTACTCTGTTGTTTCCTCTGATTTTTGGAAGATAAAACTGCCAATAAGTCAGGAATTTATCAAGGTAATGAGACTTCTAGCAGATATCTGTAAAATCAAAGTGCCCCATTGCTACGATGAACACTATTCATAGGGTCATAGACACACAGTACTGGAAGGGATGTCAGAGGTCATCTAGTCCATTAAGAAAAACAAAACAAACCGGCCCTGAAGTCAGGAGGACCTGAGTTCAAATCCAGACTCAGACCAAACACTTGACCCATACTAGCTGTGTGATCCTGAGCAAGTCACTTAACCCCAACTGCCTGAAAACAAACAAAAAACCCAACCAAACAAAAACAAAACAAAACAAAACAAAAAAACAACCTAGACCTGTAATTTCTTTTGTACAGGAAACCAGGTGAGGAAACTCTAGTTAACCAATGAAGATGAGCACATGATTTGCAGTTTATAGTCTCAGAGAGCTCTCTGAGCACAAAAGAGATTAAGTGACTTGTGCAGGGTCTCACAGCCATTGTGTGCCAGAGGCAGGACTTCGAGCTCAAGTCTTCCTAACTCTGATGCCAGCTCTATCCGATCAGCCATGCTCCTCTAGTCCATTATGAACCATAAAATAGACCATTTGTGTGTGTGTGTCTCCTTTAGACCTGAGTTCAAATCCAGTCTCATACACTGACTAGCCATGTGACCCCAGGCAAGCCACTTAACTTCTGTCTGCTTCAGTTTTCTCAGCAGTATAATGGGAATAATAATGGCACCTATCTTTCAGAGTTGTTGTGAGAATTAAAGGGGATAATATTTGTAAAGCACTTAGCATACATCGCCACACAATAGGTGCTTAATAGATGAATGTTTCTTTCCTTTTTTTTCCTTCCAAGGTGATTTAAAATACATTATTCCAGAACTTCCAAAATGATCTGCTGATCGGACTTTTAAAGTTTTTTCATTCCTTACTCCCCCACCCCAAGAGCTAGCCAAAATAGGTGTGTGTGTGTGTGTGTGTGTGTGTGTGTGTGGTAGGGTGTGTGTTTTTCAGGTTTGGCTATAACTGATTAATAATCAATATTTGTTTTCAAGCACTTTGAACATTCTTCATATAGAGTGAAGATATTTATTTGTTCTAATTTTTTTTTTAGAAGAAGGGTTTGTTTAGCTAAACACTTTGTACAGAACAGACACTTAACAGATGATTGTTGAATGAATGTGAGATAATCTTTGTGAAGTAGGAGGTCAAATTAATGAGCTTGCTTTAAATACTTTCATTTGTCCCTTAGTCCCTAAGAGGCCAGTAAGATTCAGGTGGTACTATCCTCATTTGAAGTGGAAAATGTAAAGTACGGAGAGGTCAAGCAGTTTTCTCAAGGTCATAAAGATCCGACATTAAGGACCCATTCTGACTCTCAGCCCCATTCTTGTGCAGGCTTGATTCTGAATTACTGATAATATAGATAAATACAAACGGTTACTATTCAAAAAGTATAACAGTATTAGTTGCAGTCTTACAAGTATTAGTAGTCCATCTGTCCATTCATGTTCTTTTTCACCCAGAACCTCAAAGAAAACTTGTACCTCTGCAGAAGCGTGAGCTGAGACAGAGAAGGGCTAATAAGTGGTACAATGTGTCATTACATATAAGAGTTTGATTCAGGAGTTTTACTGTCACACTCCACGGGAAAGCTTGTAAACTGTGCACATAGGATATTTTCAGAAAATAGGTCATTTAACAAGGGTTCTGTCATCTCATAGGCCAGGGACTGCTTATGGGAGATCTCCAGGTTTGAGAAAGTTGTATTGCTGAGAGAGATCCTTAATATGCAAAAAAGAGTTGAGATTAATTAGTAAGAGTTTAGAAGACAGGATTGTTTTGTCCCATGTGGAATTTCACTGAATTCTTTGCCAAGTTGAGGTGGTATTCCTTAATTTCCTATTCTCCAAACCTGACTATAATAAGGAAGGCTCAATTCACACTCTATTCTCCCACCCCCTAAAGCGTCATACTTCATTTCAAACTAATTTTTTGTTAGCAACCTTTTATTCCAAATCCCATCTACCCTTAAATAAAATCCATAGCTCTTCACCTTCCTACCCAGGGACTTAAAATACTTTGCAGAGTGGAAGTGACCTTAGACAGCACCTAGCCCAAGCAAGCCTTTTATGGCAGATGGGAAAACTGAGACCTAGAGAAATGAAGAGACACCCAAAGTAGCAGAGGCAGTATCTGAACACAGGCCCTCTGTCTCCACATCCTGTTCTCTTTCCACAAGGACCATCTTGCTTCCCCAGCCAAAGATTTTTTGCAAATGATTTTTTTTTTATTTGGGGCCAAAACGACTAGTTCATTTTCCACCTAAGTTTAGGGTCTTTCTCTTACCCCTTTCAAAGTATTTGATGCAGCAGAGAAAATCTGTACATAAAAGCAACCAGGGGTCCTTAAAAAAAAACTCAAAACCAGTCTCCTCAGCATGTCTCTCAATAGTAGTAATTCGCATTTGCATTCCCATCTCTTTTAATTCACTCAATGAGACGGTCGTCCCAAGTGTTGCTCTTTACACCAGGTAACCCTGGAGAACCCACTCCCACAGGCCTAGGCTGGTTGGACAGGCTCTTCTTGGCGGGGTTATTCTTCCCAGCTAGTCTGTCTGCTTCGACCTTGACAAACTGACCTTGGGCCTGTTGCCTCAGTTGCCCCCTCTGCAAAATGGGGAGACGAATCGCCATGGCTTCCTAGCTCAATGTTACCCTATTCTTCCGTCCTCAACCCTGTGAGCCTCTCCTTTTTCTCTTCGTCCTTCCTCCTTTTTCCACCACCTCAATCCATCCTCCATCTCCTCAGCTCCTGGCCCGCCCAGTGCAGCCGCAGCACCAGCAGCCACCGCAGCGAAGCGCGAGGGCCCGCGGGCGGGAACATTCTTTCCGTCCATCAGCGGCTATCCGCCCCGCCCCTTCGGAGACGCCCTCCCTCTACCTTCCTCCCTCCACTTCTCGCCCATTGGTCTACGGTGCTATCGCTCAAGCTGAACCGGGGTCTTTATTGGCGAAGACGGCTGTGGCGCGTCAGGCGGGTGGGTGGGGCTCAGATTCCGTATAAAAAGGGCGGGGCGGCCACGCTCGCGCCGCTTTGCAGACGCCGCTACCGGGAGTTCTCTTCTGGGTTTAGTCCTCTGGACGCCAATCCCTGCCGCCTCTGCCGTCGCGCCCAGCCCAGGCATCTGTGGCCATGGTCAACCCTAGCGTGTACTTCGACATCGCCGTCGATAACGAGCCCCTGGGCCGGATTACTTTCGAGGTGAAAGGCGATGGGACTGGTGGATGGGTGTGGGGGCGGGATGAGCTGAGGTAGGGGGCCGTGGAGCCACCGCCTTGCTTCTCTGGTTGACTGACCGAGGAGGGAGCTGGGGGCAACCCCGCCCGGCCTGGGAGTCCGGGTCTTGTCGCCCGAGCCACTGGGGCCCCCGAGCTGGGGTGGAGGAGTGGGGCCGCCTTGGGGCGAAGAACGGGAGGGTGGTGGCGGCTGCAGCGGCGCCATTTCCTTTGCACCCTGTGAAGGGGCCATTTTGGAAGGCGGGCGGGCAGCGAAGGAGAGGACTGGAGAGGGGGGAGGCTGGGGGCGGCGGGGCAGACAAAGGCGGGCGGGTGGCCGGGCTGGGACTTGGTGGGGGTTGGGAGGGTGGAGAGTGGGGGCGGGGCGCGCGCTTGGGGGAGGGGGAAGCGGCGCGAGCACGAGGCAGCCGCAGTCCGCGCGCACCGCCCCAACCCCCTCCCGCACGTGGTGCAGCCTAACGGGGTAATGGGGGAGGGGTGCGGCCGAGGGAGGGAGGCCGAGCCCAGCGCGCCTTCCCGCCCGCCGGGGCGCCCACCTGCCGTAGCCGCCCGGCCCTCGGCCGCGGCTTGGCCCCCCTCCACGTGGCGTGCGGGCGACAGCTTCCTCGGGCCTCGGCCCTCTGCGCACGTGCTCGGGGGAGCCCCGGGGCCGGCGCCGTGCCCGGCAGCCTCTTAACGCCCAGAGCCGGGGCTGAAATTCTTGGCCCCTTGGAGGCATTTTTAATGGATGCTTGGCCTTAGAGACCAGTGGTGGCATCTCCCAGGCGTGCCTTTTGGGAAAAAAAGGCTTTTTTTTCTTAATCAATTTTTGTAATTAATTTTAAAATTACATGCAGGGAAACGCCCCACCAGCCTTTTCAGACTGCTTCAGGCCTCAAAAGGGTGGGGAGAGACTTCTGGCTTTTTTTTGGAAGAGATAATGCCAAGTTGCTCCTGAAGATGTGCTTTGGGGGTGCAAATCTGGGTGGCATACCTCATGAATGCTTGTCATGGTGGAAGATTAATAAAAATCCCATGAAGCGAAGGTGCTTTCTATCTGGATTTACATTAAATATTAGAAACCCAATTTCATAACTCTTGCAGCTCCAGTTGTCCAGGGGCTACTTCCAAAGTGAGAGTTTATTTAGAAACAAAAATAATTTTCCTAGAAATGAATGCTAAAGATGTTAAATGGGAAACCTTAATATAAGCAAACATTTTGCTTATTCACACCTAGTGCTTTTCCTCTGCAGCAAAAAGCAGTGGTGACTGTTAATTGTGGGAGGAGCTCTCGTCCTAGGCCTGCCTTCCCGCAGTGGGTTAGTAGGCAAGTTTAACCCAAGGTTACCAATGAAAATGAAGCATGGTTAGTTGAATATAGCTTTTGAGAATCAGCCATTTCAGGAAGATAAAAAGCAAAGGTTATGATTTAAGCAAATTTTCAAGAACTTGACACTTTTATTTTATCAGTGATGGGATCAAATTAAAACTTATTTTGATTTTAACTCCCTCATAAAATTAATAGGTTTTTGATTTTCATAGTTTTGGATCATTTTCCTAAACTGCTTTTTTTAGGAACTTACAGAGAAATACTAATAGGAATTCTAAACCAGTTCATTCTAGACATCAGTGGGGTTATTTAAAGTTGAAAATTGTCAAGAGTATAAGTTCTAGGGCATTTCTTAAGCTCGGTATTAAAACATGCGTTTCCATCCCAGTTGGTACAAGACATTTGATGAAAAGAAATGTGCAGTTAAAGTAATTTTAAGTAAAGCACTCAACATAATCTTCAGTTGAACAGTATTGTATTGAAACTTTATAGTGACTTAAAATACAAACTCTGGGAAAATTAAGAAATTTAAAAGACTAGGGGACCAAAGCATTTAGGTCCTCTATTACAAATAAAACTGCAAGAAAAAGCAGGACCCTTTTACATCCTATAATAAGGGCAAGCAAGGCATTCTGATTTGATTATTGATCGTAGACCCTAATAGACTAGGTAATGTACTGAGTCCTGGATCTTCAAGATTTGCTTGAGTTAGTATTATGGAGGCAAAGAATCAACAGTACGCAAAGTGGGTTGTCATATAACAAGCTGCTTAGGTTTTAAAATTACAGCTGGAAATTAAATTTCATGTGCTTTTTTTCTGGATCTTAATTTTTTAAGCAGGCACTTAGCACTTCACTAGATAGGAACTGACACTTTCTATAATCCTCGATTACTTGGGGCTCTTAATCTCCTCTAAACCTTGAAAGAAGATCTTTTAACAGACAACTGTGGCAGTAGCAATTTCATTAGTAGAGAATGAGAGCCATGTCCCTGTGCAACTCCAGGCATACACCACTGCACATGCCATTCTTCAGGATTAGTGTTCTGGTATTGAGCCTGAAGTTGAAGGAGAAGATGAAGTATAAAAACAAAGTTGTATCTGATATGTGATACCGTGGGTGTGGTGCTCTCCTTTAAAAGAAAATAGTAATGTGACCTTAAAGGCACTTTCCACAAAGCTTCCTCACTATTTCAGATATTAGTGGTTATGGATTCTTGGCATGTATTTGGTTCTCATGTTGCTTAAACCTAACACCAGAAGACTCTTAAAATATAGAACCAAAACTGTTTTAGAACCCTGCTAGGGTTTGGTAATAAAAATTTTTAATGTAAAAATATCTTTGAGAATGATTCATCGCTATCGCCAATGGCAGATTTGAGCGTGGATACTAAAAGGCAATCGAATGTCTAAATGGATATAACTAATCAAATGTCATTTTCTCTTGCAGCTCTTTGCAGACAAGGTTCCAAAGACAGCAGGTTGGTAGTTGTTTTTAAGTTTCACTCAATTGTGCTTTTAGTTTAGCTTTTGTTTTTTAATATTAAATTAAATTTTCTCCATTTTGTTCCTTTGCAGAAAACTTCCGTGCTCTGAGCACGGGAGAGAAGGGATTTGGTTACAAGGGATCCTGCTTCCACAGAATCATTCCTGGGTTCATGTGCCAGGTATGGAGCATAGTGATTTCTACCAGGATATCCTTCAACCTTGTGTCCACACTTAGGGAAGGATTCAGCCAGAATGTCAGTGTCCAGTGAATGAACTTCTGCTGTCTAGGTTACCATTAAATATGCCAGCCTCATTCTGTATTTGATGGGATTCTTACTTTTAGGGTGGTGACTTCACACGCCATAATGGCACTGGTGGCAAGTCCATCTATGGGGAGAAATTTGCTGATGAGAACTTCATCCTGAAGCATACCGGTCCTGGCATCTTGTCCATGGCAAATGCTGGACCCAACACAAATGGCTCCCAGTTTTTCATCTGTACTGCTAAGACTGACTGGTAAGTAATGAACAAATAAAGTTGAACTTAGGAAGTGGAGGAGATAGTAGTTTAAGGCTTCAGATATAATTTCCATGGGCATGATTTACAAAGATAATGGAGACTTACATTTTGCCAGCTATTAGGAGTCATTTGTTTTGAACAAAAAGAGCACTGGACTTCAGTCAGGAGAACCTAGGTTCTGATCTTGGCTCTGGACACTACTGTGTACCTTTGGTGCAAGTTTCAATTCATTCTTTGGGGTCTTAGTTTTTTCCTCTAAATGAGGGGGTTAGACTAGGTAATTTCTTGGGTACCATCCAGCTTGTAACATTATAAAATCTTGTTAGCTCAGCCTAATGAATTTTAGCCCAAGATAATTTTAATAGTTAATTCCAAGCTGGAGTGACCTTTCTGATCTAATTGGCATTTGATTTGTTGGTCCTTTTTAGGTTTCCATTTAAAACTTAAGACTCCTGAACTAACAGCAGTTGGAGAAACTTTACAATTGCAGTATGCAACCTTTTGACTGACTCATAGTAAACTTTATGGTGTTTCCATTGCTTTTAGATAGAAGGTACGTTGTCCAGTGTTTACAGTAGTCAGTTGATTAACTAGCATCAAAAATTGGTGGCTTCTCTACAGTTCTCAGCTGTAAGTCCTGTTCAGCCACCTATTGGGCTTTGTAGCTGGCTTATGGTGGCACAGCTGTTCTGATTCCTAGGCAACAAAGCAAACCAGTCATTATCTTACTTCATGATGATCCCTATTTATTCCCCTAGGTTGGATGGCAAGCATGTGGTCTTTGGCCAAGTGAAAGAAGGCATGAACATTGTGGAAGCCATGGAACGTTTCGGTTCTCGGGATGGCAAAACCAGCAAGAAGATCACCATCGCTGACTGTGGACAACTCTCATAAGTTTTTTGTTTTGTGTTTTTCTGTCTTAACCATTAAACCATTCCTCTGTAGCTGGAGAGAGCACCCCCAACCCCATCAGCTCTTACACCCTATAATCTTTGTGCTCTCACTTGCTGCAATTCTCTGGATTTCATTTCCTTTTTCCTTCCACAAGTCTGGCTAGACAACAGAGTTAAGTTTATGATTATGAAATAAAAACTAAACTACACCTCGAGTCTCCTTTTTCTGATTTGGGGGGGAACTTGGGCATATAAATGTAGGTGGACAACAGGCTCTTATTAAGCTTTATTAATAATGTTTCTCAGCTTTTCTTAATTGTGGGAGGAAGTGAGCTAGAAATCAACTTGCAAATGTTCCTAATAGGATTCTAATAAAAGGGGTACTGACATGAAATATGACCAAAAGGGTTCTTTTATGTATCTCTATTGGACTGTATTAATCTGAAGAAAGTGGGGATTGTTTTAAGTATCGGGTGAATAATAAATCTGATAGCCGCTATCTCCTAATGGATAGGTTAAAAAGTACTTTAAATGCTTTTCCATGAAGTTGCTCCTTGGGTTTTCTTTTGTTGTTTTCTTTTTAAGGGAAAACAAACGTGTTTCGTTCTAAACGTTCGAGATTTTTTGAGTTCTAAGTTTTTCCTCCTCCCCAAGATGGCCTGCAGCCTGATACAGTCTATGCATATTTTATTTATATATGTGTGTGTGTATGTATGTATGTATATATGTGTGTGTGTATATATATACATATATATATATAAAACATTTCCACCTATTAAGTTTCTAGGGGCAGCTAGGTTGCATAGTGATATAGTTGTTGCCTGAGACAGGAAGACTTTTATTCTTGAGTTAAAATGTGGCCTCAGATACTGTGTGGTTGGACAACTCGTGAAACCTTGTTAGCTTCAGTTTCCTAATCTATGAAATGAGCTGGAATGTAAATTACTCCATTATTTTTGCCAACCCATTTAGGGGTACAGACAACTGGAAAATCACTAAACGAAAGTGCATTATGTTCCAGCCAAACACAAGATCAGGGTTCTTTTCCCTATGCCTTAGGAGCCATTTGTATCACCAATCCTGTATCTCCATGGCTGCTGCCACAAGGACACCCAGTGGTTAATTATAATTACTGTAACCTGTTAAAGGATCTGGTAGGTACTACCATTTACTCCTACCTTAGCCCACCCTTCTTTCTAGGTTACTTTAGGGTGTAATTGTGAAAAACACATTTATCTTTTCATAGCAAAGCTGTCACATTGGAGGGGCACTGATGAGGGATCAGAGATGCTCAGGAAATGGATCATGTTCTGGGACTGTTAAGCTTGATTTCATTAGTATGACTGTTCTTCCAACTTTTAGCCAATCTTAATTCATTCCATGTGACTGCCCACATCTTCCCGTAGGAAGCTCACCTATTTTGCTTAGGGACTTTTGCTTTTTCCTGACATGCAAGAACAGTACCTGGAATCCATATCCTATTTGTTCACTTAAGTGTCTGACATTAAACCACCACCTCTTATTTTCCTCCCATAGCTTGAAAGACACCTCTCCTAATCCTACCTTTCTAATGGTTGATTCTCTTCATTTTCCAAACTCCTGAGGGTGGGTCATTCTCCTCCAGGGTTCAGGCCTTTTAGACTCTTCTTTCTTCCCCTTATCTCATTACTAATCTTCACTCATTTTTTAAGGTTGGGCATTATTTTTGAAATTCTCTCTCCATCTCTTCTGTCTAATCGGTTTCTAAATCATATTCACCCAATCTCTACAGTGTTTCTTCCCATGGCTAACACTCCATTCAGTACTGCCTCTTTGCACAGCCTACCATCCTCCAAACTATGGACAGATTAAATTTGTGCACAAGTGTAGTCATGCTATGCTGTCCAGAACCCTACAATAGTTTCCTATTAACTATATAGGCAGTCCAGTTGATCCAGTCTAGTCTAAATCCAAATCAATCATTTAGTCAACAGACTCCTTGCCTGGCGTTCAAGGCCTACCCAATTGTACTATCTGCATTTTTCCAGACTTTCTTATTTTACATATACTCTGATCCAATAGCATTGAACTACCCTCTATAACTGAGATTTTTCACCTATATACTCTTTTTACTCTATTAATTTACTTTCAACATTCACTTTCACAAGATTTTGAGTTCCAAATTTTCTCTCCATCTCTTCTCTCTCCCTACACCAAGATGGCATGCATTCTGAATGCCTCTTTCCCTAATCTGTCTTCCTATCTCCCCCTCCCTTTCTCTTATTCCTTTCCCCTTATATTTTCCTGTACGGCAGGATAGAGTTTTATACCCTATTGCCTGGTATATCTTATTCTCCAGGTGCATGTGAAAGTAATTTTTAACATTTGTCTTTAAAACTTTGGGTTCCAAATTTTCTCCTTCCCTCCTCACCCACCCTCAATGAGAAGGCAAGCAACTCAATACAGGTTAAACGTGTAGTCATGCAAAACACTTCTCATAGTAGTCATGTGGAAAACTGTATTTCCCTTCATCCTATCCTGCCCTTCTTCCCCCCCCCCCATTTATTCTATTCTCTCCTTTGACCCTGTCCCTCCTCAGAAGTGTTTACTTCTGATTATTCCCCCCTCCCCCAATCTGCCCTCCCCTTTATCATCTCCTTGCTCTCTTATCCTCTTCCACCCTGTTTTCCAGTAGGGTAAGATAGATTTCCATACCCAATTGAGTGTGTATTCATGTATATACTTTTGCTCTCCTGTTTGGAATGGCCTCCCGCATAATTTCCACCTATTAAAATCATTCTTTTAAGACCTGTCTTAAGTGCAACATGCAAAAGCCTCATCTACCTGTGTCCATTAGGATCTTCCTTTGCATCGTATGTATTATATACTACTTATTTTCCCCCTCCCACATACCTATATATAGATATTTATGTACATTTCATATCTCCCTACTAGAATGTAAGCTCTATTTGAGTTTATTGAAACTTTATATATTTTCCCCTTTACACAGCACAGTGCTGTACACACAGTAGGTGACTAATATATGTTCAATTAAATTGAATGACTGAGGGCCTGATTTCTCTACCAGGCTTTTTTTCTTTTAATCTCCAGAAATTGAAATTCTGCTACATAAATGATGATTTAAATACCATTTAGTTCACATTTTTACTTCAAATGCATACACTTAAAAACAGTGAGATTCATCTTCATTCCGGCATTGTTTGGGCATCACTGGACTGCTGAACATTTGGAATTTAATTATAAGAAACATGCTCTGAGGGTTCAGAGGGAGAGATGATTATTTATAACTTGGTTGAAGCAACCAGTGCTTGGATTGAAGGTAATAAAATGTAGAGTTCTGTAACCAACCTGGGATGTTTTTCTTCCCTCCACTTCACAGCCACACACAAGATGAGTGCCTCCTTATCTGGCCCTAACCTTGGGTGATTTCATCCCATGACACTTCCCCTGGGAGCTAGCCCCCTTTCCTCAGCCCAGCAGTGGCCAGTTCTAGTGTTCTGGAGCTTGGTTTCTCCTCTTCACAGTCAAATCCCAGGTAAGCTTCTCCTGCTCCCCCTCCCTAAACCTTTGCTCCAATCATAATCCCATTTATCACTGGTAATTATTGAGGTAAATTATGAAGTCCAGGAAATAAAAATGTTCCCAGATTTCTTACTATGTTCTTCCCTCCAGCTTCTGCAAACTCCCAGGCATGGTGGTTGCCTCCCAAAATAGAAAAGCATTCTCATCACTTGATTATAGATTCACTGATGAATCAATCAGTGTGAATAAGTTCAATCCATGCATAACCTTGACTTAAAAACTAGGGTTCCTGGATGATGTTCTCAAGAACATATACGTGGAGAGTTGTGTGATGACCTATCAATTAACAGTCCTGAGAAGTGGGGTCTACCTTGCCTAATTCCAGTACTTCCAGGCTGTCTTGCTCCCTCCCTTAAAACCTCAGCATGAAAAGAACTAAGTCCACACTATTTCTCCTATACAATCCTCACTTCTCTTGCCAAAGTATGATAAGCATGCTGTTGCTTCTGGCTAAGCCATCCATAGTCTCAGGACCCAGAGTTCCTGCTGCCTTCAGTACCAAAGATACTGGGGCATAAGGGGTGTCTTCAAGGAGGGGCTGGGAGAGCTGAACCTCTTAACTGGAAAACTGTAGGAGGAGCACAGGAAGCCTTACTCTGGGTGATGGAAAAGTGAGAGAATGAGTTTAGAGGCAAAGAAAATCTTTTGTGTTGTAATTTGTTGTTTAGTTCTGTCCAACTCTTCATGACCCCATTGGGGTTTTCTTGGCACAGATACTGGGGTGGTTTGCCATTTCCTTTTCCAGCTCGTTTTACAGATGAGAATACAGAGGCAAACAGGGTTAAGTGACTTGCCCAGTGTCACCCAGCTAGTAAGTGTCTGAAGTCAGATTTGAACTTGGGAAGATGAGTCTTCCTGACTCCAGGCTGGACACTCTATCCACTGTGCCACCTAGCTGCCCCTGTATTGTAATAGAGAGTCATAGATTATTAGAGTCTAAAGAGACTGTAGACAGGACCTCCGGTGGCTTCAAACTCAAACAGAATATTTAACTTCCTATCATTTAAATCTATTTTTGACTGCTATTAGCTCTGGCTTTGTTTCTTAGTACAAGGCTATCTAATTACATAGCCCTCTGAATAAAGGGCTGCATTATATGACTTGGAGAGGGGTAGTATTCAGCAGGTCAGGGACTTTGAGATCCCTTATCAAGTACAACTCCTTCATGGATAGATGGATGACTGAATGAATGAAAAAAGTTTTTTGTCTTTTTAAATGCAGTTTTATTTTCAGTTCTGATTTCTCTCCAGTCCTCCTCCCCCTCCCTCACCCATTGAGAAGACAAGAAAAAACAAAATGAAACCCATTACAAATATGTATAATCATACAAAACAAATTTTCACATTAGCTGTATCCAAAGAAGAAAAGAAAAGTTTCAGTCTGCCCTCTGAGCCTACTAGCTTTCTATCTGGAAGTGAGTAGCATGCTTCCTGAGATCTTTGGAATTGTGGTTGAACATTGTGTTGATCAGAGTTCCTATGTCTGAAAAAGTGTTTTTTTTTTTTTAATGATTAGGCAATGGGGTTAAATGACTTGCCCAGGGTCACACAGCTAGTAAATGTTATGTGTCTGAAGTTGGATTTGAACTCGGATCCTCCTGACTCCAAGGTCAGAGCTTTATCCACTG